ATGGTCCGGCGCGGCGGCGGGGTGACTTGGCGCTTGTGCGGGTGATCGGCTGCGCGGTGCCGCGGAATGGCGGCGGCCGCTCGGCCAAGATCTGGCCCCTTTGGGCCCCGTCTGGGCCGAGGCGGGCCAGCGGCTTCTTTGTCGACGACGTAGCCCCTGGAGGTGGAGGTGGGGTATAGGGAGTCTGGGCGGTGGCAGCGCCGTCGCCGGCTTGCTGCAGCGTTGATGTAGACCGGACAGATCCGTTGTTGTGGCCCGACCTTTCACGACAGTCCACCACCAATAGCAGCAATCTCTCGCCCGCGCACGTGATGTACACGAAGTAGAGGGTTTGAACCTTGTGGCCCAGCACGAGAAAACCAATCTCGACGAAGGTACTCACGCACAAAACAATTTTCACGAAGAGAAATCGCAACACAGAGGTTTTCTAAAGATCCCTCCAAAACTTGACACGGGTGTCTACCCTAAAAACACATCGTGTCTATTTCATAAAATATAACCTAACCTCACAAAATACAATCGATTGGCTTTATATTGCAGCCGCACACCCTACCTAACTTGGAAAGCAAGCCCTCACGTAAACATAACACCTAGGCGTATCTAAACCGACTTGGTATATTTAAGGAAAGTAAAACTACTTTAGCTCTCGTGCATGCATGCGACGGCTCGATTTATTCTTTTGTTGGTGGACCCCAGCCAACATCCTTCAAACTAAATAACTCCCAGATAAACTGGCTCCTTACGTTGATAGTTTCCTTACCCGGCAGGAAAAAAAACAATAATCTTCTTGTTTTCATCTTCACGTAGCAAATCCTAAGGAAATACTCAAGATGAGTTGTGGACTCCTTAATGCCTCCTCCTGAACGTGTCTTGCTAAAATAATTAAAGTATTTTTTTCCTAGATTTCCTCTTGAAGCATGCACGTCTAATCCATAAGCAGATGGCATCTCAAATTTAGTATGTCTCTCTTTTTTGCATATGCACATGCTCTCCAACACATCAGTGTGTACGGCCGTAGAACTTGGCCGAAGGTGCTCCATTGTATCTGCAATGTTTTTCCGGAGAACACAGGCTTCAGCAGAAACATCAACGGTCTTGATATTTATATTACAACGGGTCGTATCATCCTCTCCTCCTTGAAACGAAACCATCCCCGGTTTCGAATTAATCTTTTCAGCAATATTTTTATCTACGGACTGAACGACGGCCATACAAATTCCAGTAGCTTCAACCTTCTTCTTTTCTTTTTCTTTTTCCTTTTTTATCTTCGCAAGATGTTCTTTCCTCCTCCAACTGAAATCCATAACTTAACTTACTGAATAACGATGCCCTCGCCATCTTCTTCATAGTGTCGTGAACAACCTGTTGCTCCGATACCACCTGATGTAGACCGGACCGATCCGTTGTTGTGGCCTGACCTTTCACGACACTCCACCACCAATAGCAGCAACCTCTCCCCGCGCACGCGATGTACACGAAGTAGAGGGTTTGAACCTTGCGGCCCACCATGAGAAAACCAATCTCGAGAAGGTACTCACGCACAAAACAATTTCCACGAAGAGAAATCGCAACACAGAGGTTTTCTAAAGATCCAAAACTTGATACGGGTGTCTACCCTAAAAACACATCGTTTCTATTTCATAAAATATAACCTAACCTCACAAAATACAATCGATTGGCTTTATATTGCAGCCGCACACCCTACCTAACTTGGAAAGCAAGCCCTCACGTAAACATAACACCTAGGCGTATCTAAACCGACTTGGTATATTTAAGGAAAGTAAAACTACTTTAGCTCTCGTGCATGCATGCGACGGCTTTATTTATTCTTCTGTTGGTGGACCCCAGCCAACATCCTTCAAACTAAATAACTCCCAGATAAACTGGCTCCTTACGTTGATAGTTTCCTTGCCCGGCAGGAAAAGAAACAATAATCTTCTTGTTTTCATCTTCACGTAGCAAATCCTAAGGAAATACTCAAGATGAGTTGTGGACTCCTTAATGCCTCCTCCTGAACGTGTCTTGCTAAAATAATTAAAGTATTTTTTCCTAGATTTCCTCTTAAAGCATGCACGTCTAATCCATAAGCAGATGGCATCTCAAATTTAGTATGTCTCTCCTTTTTGCATATGCACATGCTCTCCAACACATCAGTGTGTACGGCCGTAGAACTTGGCCGAAGGTGCTCCATTGTATCTGCAATGTTTTTCCGGAGAACACAGGCTTCAGCAGAAACATCAACGACCTTGGTATTTATATTACAACGGGTCGTATCAAGCGTGGCGATAGTGGCTTTGCGGGCCCGGGAGGCCTGGTGTGCCCTTGTTGCCTCGTTCAGCCGGCTACCGTGATGGCGCTGGAGGCAGCGACCTCCCCTGAGGCGACGATGAAGGTAGTTCCCTCTCGCGCAGCCTTGCTGCTGCCGCCCCGTTTCCTTGCGCTTCCATTTTTCGTCATCCAGGCCTCGCGATGGTGACCACAATGAGACGATGAGGGTGGCATCAAGACCATGGTGGCGCATGCTGGTGGGTGGCAAGCTGGATGGAAGGCTCCGGAGCGGCTGGGTAGTGGTGTTCTGGGGTTGGGAGAAACCCTTGTCGGCTTGTCTGACACTGATGCGGTGATGCCTGCGGGTGCCGCCATTCCTTCCTGAAGGGCGTCAGATGTTCCCATTCCCCTCTTCCCTCCGCGTGCCGGGGAAGTCCCTAGGACATGTCCGTGCAACAGCATTGTCGTCGCGCACTCCTTCTTGAAGGTGTTGCTTGGTACGCGGCGTTTCAGAGTGCTATGAGTGTGGTGGGATGACCCTGGAGGGCACAGCGGTGGATGGTCATCCACGTTTCGTCCAACTGCCATTGTTGGCATTTGTTTCTTTTTTTTCTTTTGGGTTTGATGTGTTGTTGGCCCAGCAGTTGTTTCATGTGGTTGCTATATTAATATATAGCAGAGCGCAAGTCTATTTTGAGAAGATGTGTTGAACTGCCAGGCGGTTGGACGGCATGTTCTGTCCGTTTACCCCCAAACGAACGTAGCAAGACCATTTGGGGTCGTGCGTTGAAGTTGGCCTGATAGACAAGGTCGATCATGGATCTTGACGTTGTGTGTCACATAAAAAAGTACTACCTCTGTCCGAAATTAGTTGTCGCTGAAATGAATGTATCTAGATATATTTCTGTGCTAGATACATTCCTTTGAGCAACAAGTAATTCCGAAACTCCTACAAAATCGAATCGATATGACGCAACTCTGCAACTGATGAACCATATATACATGAACTTGATGCATGTTCCTCCTATCTAAAATTGGCAACAATTGGATCCGTTTCTAGTTCTAGCGCCTGTGTTGCAGTACTTACATCACTAAACCTTTATGTGCTTCATCAAGTGTCCGATGAAGACAGATGACATGAAGACTAACAGCACAAACATTACGGAGAAACCCTGTTGAGGTGATCCTGCTTCCCTAAGCAGTCCCTGAAATAAGGCCAGGATGAAATGTTCAGATATCTGACAGTAAATAAAACATACCTGCATAGGCAATCATTTAGAAATCATAACATTATATATTTCAATGGACAAAGGTGCCCCACATGTTAATTGGCTTCACAGAGAACCTCATTAAAATATTACTCCTTCCGTCCGAAAATACTTGTCATCAAAATGAATAAAAAGAGATGTATCTAGAACTAAAATACATCTAGATACATCTTCTTTTATTCATTTTGATGACAAGTATTTCCGGGCGGAGGGAGTACTAGTTTGCTCCTTAATCCTTATCTCTTTTTTCTTGAGGGAGTTATCACCAAATGCTGGTGCTTACCCCATCCATCAAAGGTGTATAATTTTGAAAGTCTTACTGGATTGTCACTACTGGGAAAAGTGAAGTCAGTGCTTCATCTTTATTTTTATCCGTAAAAAAACTATTGATAGAGTTCATTATCTCTCAACAATTGGTTAAGTTGTATTAAAAAAAAACAACAATTGGTTAAGTCTGGTACTTATCTTTCAATACCTAACATATATGGTCACTGAACTCAGTCAGAATGGCATGAAGGTGATTTCGTACGGAACGGTGCCCAATTAGCACAAAAAATATATATATTGTTACTACCTCTATCCGGGTTGTAAGTTGGGCACGGTTTTTAGGTCTTCAATTTGAGTATCAAAATATGTTATTGGCCGCAAAAAATATATCTTTTGATTCTCCGTCGAATGAACTTTCTAACATATATGTTTGTATGGCATGTTACACGTGATTTGCTAGTCAAGTTGAAGATCTAAAAATTTGTGCCCGGCTTACAAATCGGGATGGAGAGAGTATAAAACATGTGAAAAGGGGAAGAAAATTATATTAGAAACTATATTTGTATTAAAATATGTAAAAAAAGTGGGTGCATTCAAAAAACAAAAGGATTTTGTAAAATACAAAAATAATAAGAAGAAGAAACTCAAGTATTACTCTGGAAATACTAAAACATTGAGATAAGTCAGGAAAGAATTATGAAGAAAAGTGGGAATTGTGGCAATATATACCGAATAAACATTTTTCACGAATTATCTGGTTCCTTTGAATATGTATGGATTTATAGCTTTTTGTTAAATTCCTAGATTTTTT